TGCTTTAGCTGTTGTGGTTCCCTGGAATGCCGAGATCAGCCAGGCCAAGATTTGCCCCAGGTATAGGCAGTCGCCACCCTTGTGAATCAGAAGGAGATTTGCCATTATGCGATTAGTTGATACCAGGACGGGGGTGGATCCCAGTTTTGGTTTCTGCTTAGCTGGGCCTCCTGATGGAAACGCTTGACTCCTTTTCAGCTTGAGAGACCCTGCCGAGGGATGAATCTCCCGCTGTACATCGCAGTCCGACACCCAGGAACACCTCCCAGCTACGGTGAGGCAGTAATCCGCTGGAAGAAATTCGATGTACAGGTTAAAAATTGAAATATCATTGAATATGCTGATAGCATCTATAGGTTAATAAAACGGCTGAGAGAGACGAAACGAGGGACTGGCATGGTGTGGTGGTAAACGCGTCAGCCCCGGGAAAGGGTATGTCGTGTTCGATTCCTACCACAGACACCTGCAGTCAGGAGTTTTGCGAATAGCTCAGAACCATTATGTTTATATCATTGAATATTTTCTAGGGAAAGTGTAAAACTTCATATTCACAGCCGAGTTGTAAAGCTGAAGAGTTCTGGTGGTGGTAAAATGATAAAAGCTCTCGGCGTTGATCAATCCTTAAGGGATGCGCCATGCATTCGACTTATCGTTTGGTGGGGATTGAATGCATATCTGGCCTTTACAATGACTCGCGGTGGCCTACTGATTTATCGAGCGAGTGCTGCTATCCTCCCAGACAGGTCTGGTGCCAATTTGCCGACTCCGCAGAGATGGAAGGCTTGGTGGGCCACGCGCGCGGAGTTTGATTCCACATGTGTCTCGCAGTGGCGCCTCCAACCTCTGCGCCACACGCGCCCTTCTGTTTGTGATAGGTTTTATAAAATCCTATGGTTTGTTTTGGCATGTTTCAGAAAATGTGACCTTATAAGCGTATAAAGTATAAGCGCTCATGAAAAAAGCATGAAATAAGAAGGAGATGAGAAGAGGTTTCTGTACAATTGCCCGTATTCGACCAGATGATGCATGAACGGACGAGCAAAAACGAAAAGAGCAATGTCGCTGATGATGAAAAAAAGTGAAGGAGATGACTCAAGGGCGCTCAGTTGTCGCGGCAAACCCTCAAGGATAATCTATTCCTTCTTCATTCGTCAGCACATCGGAAAATTCGACGGTGACATCAAATGGTCTGACGAACAACAACTACGCAGTTCCCTTGACATTAGCCGATCCTAGGAATTTTTAAGCGTTTCCCACTCTCTATAAAGAATTTGGAAGTAGCTCACTAATTTTAAATGCTTGTGAGCTCCACATGCTTACATAATTAAGTATTTGGTGATACTATATGGATTTTGTCCACGACCCCCTGCACATTTCCATGTCTCCTAAAGGATTTTTAAAACCAAAGAAGACTGATTTTTTTCCACTATTGGCGAAATAAAGTAGTTAACCATGAACTCGAACAAGAATCGTTTTCTGGCATGTTTTACGTATTCACTGATAACACAAAAATGCCACCGATCATCGTCTAGGTGGAATTTAGCGCTCAGATCAAAGCGACCAAAAACCGGGCAGCACTGGGTTGTCGGCGAACAATGCCATCGATTACCTAGACGGAACTTATCCATTTCTCGTGTAACGTTTCGGCTTCTGGTATCCCTAACCCGATAATGTGCTCTGTTCATACTTCCGCTTCAGTTTTCTGTCCTTTTCACTTTTTTAAGCTCAAGCATCACTATTCACGCGTTTTCATATCGTTCCTCACCGAGACATCCACCTTATCCTTTGTTGATCTTATTTTGCCCTTATCGTGGTCATCTTAACACTACTAGTTTTCTATTTTCAATGTAGAGGCGCGTGTAGTGCAGTGGTCGGAGGCGCTTTGCAATACACACCTGGAATCGATCGCCGCATCCGTGGTCCACCAAGTCTTCCATCTTTCCGGGTTCGGCAAATTGGTACCAGACTTGTCTGGTAGGATAGCAGCACTGGCTCGATACATCACTAGGCCACTTCGAGTCATTGCAAATGCCGGATATACATCCACTCACCTCTAACAATGCTACGTATAGAGTACAATGCATGGCGCATCCGTAAGGAATTGAGCAATGCCGAGAGCTTTATCTTTTATCCTTTTTTTTCCAATATAAACCCTTGAAATGGTTTTCATACCAATACCGATAGATAACACTCGATGTCATATGATAGTTGCTATCACTCGATCGTTGACATTCCGATGTTTTTGCTAGCGAAAAATGTCTGCACTTCACTTAGCCGTTAGCGTACAGATACAGCACATCCTGCACCGTACATATGGTCCTACACGGAAAATCTGTCAATCGAACACCACTAAATTTCATCATACGAAGAATCCAGTAACTTCTGCTATTAACTGTTTAGAGCTTTCAATCCTTAAAGACTGAAGAAGAAATCAAAACTCATTATGTTTGAGACCGTGGTCAGTGGTTTTATGTGTAGCTTACTCATACTTTGAAGCCCTCGTCATTGCATTGCTCATGTCTTTCACAAACTTTGGATGCCAGTTTACACAGAATTAAATAGCCAGCAATTCTGTACTCGATATGACCTTTACTTGATTCGTTCGTTCGTCACACTGCAGCTGGTCTCGCTCCCGGAGCATGTCGGTCCCGCAACGATCGGATGCGCAGGTTCTCATCTGCACGTCATATCAGTGCTATTCACCACATTTCATATTCAAATTTACTAGTAAATAAAGTAGCATTCTTACGATTTTTTAGTAGGCTACATGTCCCTGAGAATGTTAGCACCACTAGGGCATTCTTTCTTCTTCAACTAGATGATATCATCATTCAATCATGTGTCTGTTTTCAGTGTCTTTCATACTGAGAAGTCAGTATTTCGACAAAGGCCGTATCATCCTAAGTTTCGTTTCTTCTATTTCACATATTACAGCAATTATTTATGTACGAATACATTTGGATTGTAACGAGTCTTCAAAATCCGGGGTTATTGTCGAAGGTATGGTTTCCTACTATTCCCAGTGGCTTTTAAATTCGTTGTTTTCTACAATTAGTCCGCTTTTTGTTTCGTTCATGTCATTCATTCATTCATTACGTCATTACCTTTTCCAGTATTGTCATACAACGTGTTTTCATTACTACCTGGGATTATTACTATTGTTATTATTAGTGTTATGTTACAATTTCATTACATTGCATCATTATTTTACATTACTTTCTTGGTTACTTGTCCCGTCCTCATTGGCTGTGCGGGCCCCATCATATTTTTCCGGAATTTTGCTGGTTTAGTCATCGTGTTTCTCTTGAGTCCAGAGGTCAACCAGGCCAAAGTCTACCCCAGGTCGTCACCACAACAGGCAGCCACCGCCCATGTGGATCAGAAGGAGATTTGCCACCATGCGACAAGTTTGAGATTAGGACGGTGGTTTATCCTGGTAGTGGTCTTACTTTTAGCTGGGCTTTCTGCTGGAAGCGCCGGACTCCTTTTCAGCTTGGGAGACTCTACCGGAGGGATGAATCTCCTGCTGTACATGGCAGCCCGACAATCAGGAACACCTCCTAGCCACGATGAAGCAGTAAACCGTTTGGAGGAATTTATACTGTATTGCCTTTCATGATACTACACGTTTACTAATGTGATTTCCTATTACTTAAGAATATATTGCTGCATTCCGACATTTTTTTCGGGTCGTCAGTAATTGTCCTCATCCATGATTTCGTTTATTTTTTCTTCTGAACTTCCTTATACAACCCGATGTTTTTCTACTTTTTCCTGCTCACTTTCGCATGATTCCAGGAACGTTTCATTGCTTTCTATTATCTATTTTACGTTATAATACGTTATTGTTCCATCAACACGTCTTAACATTGTTTTTTCATATTTGGAGGGTTCTTTTTCTCCACTTGTACTTCTACCAGGTTCTATTTCATCTCTATGTTTTTGTTTTGGTGATATAATATCATGAACTCATCGATGTTGCTGAAAATGAGTAATAAGGAAGCGGATAGCATTATAAGTTCGTTCTGATCGCTACCCATCAGTGCCCTCGGTCTCTGACATCCGGTGGAATGTCGTGATCGTGGTCCATCCGGATAGTCCATCATGATTTGTAGCCGACGTGCTCGGAATGTGGCTGAACGTACTCGATGTTCGTGATATTCGTGGACTACAGATGTTTTCGTCGTATTTCTTTTGTTTTGTTACGTCTTCATCACTAATACGATTCGATTTCCTTGCAATAGGAATTTTTGACCACATTTCCTTTTCAGGTTGTGGAGTTGTATAGAAGGTCCCTAATGCTTTAGATAGGGATCACCTAGCCGGTTCCGCTTTTTGTGAATGACGAAAATTTCTATCGAGTTTCGATCGCTAGCACTCTGCTATTGTCGTCTACTGTCTGCCCATCGTCATCATCATCATCATCATCATCATCATCATCATCATCGTCATAATCCTCCTCCTCCTCCTCCTCATCATCATCGATAGGATTTGACAACGACAATCAACAGCAACGCGTTCGTGTTATTTCTAATCATAGTTCATACCTTTGTTATATTTGTTCTTCTTGTTCTGTGAAAGAAATACGGTGAAACTATGGCCGAACAGGAATGGTCAAATGCGTTTACAACAAATCTTTGGAATGGAGCAGTACATAGTAGGTCAGGTATGTGCTAGAGCTAAATTGCAGTACTTCCCTTTCGTAACCGGGAAAAGCCATGTCACATTAGTAGGTCGTCTAGGTGTACATAATGTTTATGATTGTTTAAATTAGTGCATTTAACTATATTGGAAAATCATATTTCCATTTCCTTTAAGGTTTATTACAGCGAATGCCTCACGAAGTGCAAGTGTTAGAGATGTGTTGAGGCTAAAGTTTTAGAATTCTACCCGTGTACTGGTGTAGTTTGGACTGCTTCAGATATTAGGGACAATTTGCATGTGAAAACGAAAGGGTATTTGAGGCTTTTGTTTAAGATCATTCTGTGAGCAAGCCGATAATGGTTGCTAGTAATAACGTAAGTCAAGCTGCCTCACCACGTTCCGAATCCTATGGTCCTGGAGTTCTGCAAATGGTTGTTGACAATGTGTTGAGTGGATCACCAGCTTCTGTCAAGACAAGATTGGTTAGTCTTTTTTTCTTTATTAATCTATTAGATAGAGGTGGAGTTTTTTGCATGGCATGATAGTACTACTACCGTAGTGGATACGATAGGTTTTAATTCTAAATGTCAGTGCTGCTATATTGAACAAGAAGAGGAAATACTACCAGATCATCTCGAACAATGCGTGTTCTATTGGAAGGGAAATTCTAGTGTTAAATACCTTCATCGTTATTTGTTATTTCATCCTCTTATAAATTTTTTTCTCTATTCAGTTGCCACAAAGGAACGATGTGTCGATGCATTTTGTGGATCGCAGGTACCTACTCTATCCAAATTTAAACAGTGTATTCTCTCACAAGCGTAGTAAAACTCCTCAGTTGTTAGATGGATTACGCATTCATCCAGTCAGTGATAAACCTTTTAGAATTCTTATTAGCGAATTCAGTGATCACAGCGCGCGATGCAATGAAGACAAGCGTTCCGATAGTAATGGATTCGGACTTTCATTGTCGTATGGATTGCCCTTCAGTTCAAATTCAGAAAGTCACGTTGGAACATCCGATTTCCAGGTTCGACCAATGCAGAAGTCAAAGAGATTGTGTTTTATCTTACTGGATTTAAATTTTTTATGATAAACATTATCTACCCCCTGTTCAAGTATAATGCCACCTCCGCCTTACCTGTTGTTTAAAATCCCCACAAGGTCTCTGCAAATGTAGAGTCTTTGATTTTACAAGCATATAAAGATAGAGCTCTAAAACTGTAGGCGTTGATCAGTCCCTTAGGAATGTGCCATGCATTCGACTTCATTAAGTCCGTTGGGAGGTGACCGAATTCATATCTGGCCTTTACAATAACTCGCAGTGGCCCGCAGATGTATCGAGCCAGTGCTGCTATCCTCCCAAACAAGTCTGTCATATCTGGTACCAATTTAACTACCCTGGAGGAATAGAAAGCCAAATAGGACATGGGCGCGGGATCGACTCCACGTGTGTTGCAGGGCACTTCCGAGCACTGCGCCTCGCAAGCGTATGTATTTGCCATTTTTAATAGCGTAAAATTTTTTTATGAAACGCAGTGCAGGGAAGTTAGAAACTGTTTAATACAATTAGAGAGAGCAAAATGTGGTCAATCACGTGCAGTGTTTTTTGTGTGCTGTTATTCTTAATCCCTGAAGCGCAAGTAAATGTCTAATTACGAAGCAAATCTAAACCATTCGCACTTCATTTTCGTTTTCTTTTTATAACCATTCACTTTTTTTTTCTGAGAGCTTCTGATTATTCATGCTATTGTTACTCCAACTTGTAGTTTTAGATTGCTCCATATCTTATGAAAGGTGACAACGTTATCGGTGGGCCATCCGCAATGCAATCTTCTGCACCAAGTTACGGATACGAGCCTTGGAATGTGCCCTATGCAACGAACCCTCCACTCAGCGTACCTTCAAACATCGAAAACTCTCAGAATGGCTAGTTTTATCAGAAATGACACATTTCTTTCAAATAGGGCAACATAAAAGGCATTCTGTTGAGAAAATATACTTAAGTGCTTGACTGATATATTTTCCCGAAGAATCGTGTGAATAGTGGCATAATACTCAATTCGAATAGTACTTTCCTGGTTTGGGAGAGTTTTTCCTTGTGCTGAAATCAAGGAAAACTCGTGCCAGAGCGTTTTCAAGCCTTAATCGCATGCGAGAGATCGCCATAACATTGTAAATCAAAGGAGGGATCAGCAACTTTGTGACTTTTTCGCTAGTACTGTGGCCATATTTCGTGACACTAACTTCTTCGCTAAGACTACTAATTGAAATCTACGGCTTCTTATCAACTAGGGTGACTTTGTTCGTTCGGAGGGACAAATTCTTTGAGAAATAGTTGAACCTGCGAGGAAATGTTGGTTGGGGTGAATACGAAGTTTATGAAGATCTCATTATTTTATTACCGTTTTGTACACCTTTTACAAGTTTAAGCAAAGTAAACAAAGTAATAGTTTTCGGTTTGAAATACAAGAAAAAGAATTTTCAACGCAGCATGCTTCCTAACGAAATCAGTTGATCAATGATTTATAGGTACAGGTACGTCGCGATCGGAGGGAACGTTTTCATCAAATTTTTTTTCATCGTCACCTCCATACTATCAAAATCAAATACTAAACGTTGCTAATAGTATGGCAGCGCTTTCTTTCGGTGCGCCACCTAATCCTCAGCATAGTGCCAATCGTTCGGACCAGTCGTATTCAGGTTAGGGTTTTGCTAATCAAACTCTATCAACTTTGCAGTCATTTGTTGTTTAGTTAACGGCATTCTCCATATCTCGACCATTTGTTAAAGCTGCTATAGTTTCATGAGTTTGAAAATTAGTAGTTATGTAGTTTCGGTGAATATCAAGTGTTATTAGACCTTTTCCACTGTTATAAGGAAACGAAGTTCTAGCAATGGGTGAATCATCAGCATTTCCCTCACTTGCACAACCGCCACCTCACCCTATGATGTACATGAAGCTCAATCGACCACCAACGCAACCAACGCCGGGTCCGACATTAGGAAGCAATCCAAGCTTTTTCGGTAACTTAACTTAAAGTCTAAACGCTTCTTCTTCGAAGCGGGCTTCGTTAGCTTCTGTATACCTTGACTTTTTTATTATGTTCATTATACATGTTATTATATATTTAATACATATGCTTAAGTAGTTTTCGGTGCCTACAGAAATAAGTTTTGGTCAATATCATCCCTGATTGAGAAGGAAAGGTATGGTTTGATCTATTGGGTATAACGTGCACTTTCTGGATTCGCCTTTACAATTCTTCTTGAATGTGGTTTTTCACGTATCTTCTCATCAGTGGACAAAGGCGTACCAGAAAAGCTGGAGTATCACAGATTTGAATACTGCCACTGTATTTTTTTTCCACAAATGGAGGAATTAGTGTTTTCGAAGGTTTGAAAAGATTTAAACAACCGCCTTTCATTTTTCCCATGCGAAGGAAATTATTTTCGTAGTTTTGGTATATTATTTGAGAAGGTTGTGTGACAAGTCTGGATCCTTTATGTTTAAATTATGAACATTCAATTTTCGGCATATTTTGTATTAAATAGAGGGGTACCAATAGCAGAAATGTTGACAAGAATCAATTGCTGTCTATTTCTAAAAGGTGTTTTGCAACAGTTTCTCATCAGTGATGGTTTCGTTCGTGGAGTATCGTCTTCTTAAGAGGAGATGCTTCTTTGGCTGAAAATAAGCTTTCAAGTGCTATCCTTTACAGCTGGTGGAATTCCAACAATGCCGGGACCACACCTCGATCCAGGAATGAGCGTTCAAAGATATAACAGTTCTGGAATGTCAATGTTCAGCGCGCCGCCACAGCCGTCGAATATTAGTCACTTTGGTGGTTGTCAGAGCAGACGTCGAACTGACAATAACAGTCCAAGGTTATCCTCTCTTTCAAATATTTCTGGTTTAGGCTTTTCCTTCTTCATGAACTTTGTTCCAGACAGCCAAACCGTAGTTACCTTTTGGATGATTTTCGCAACAACCGAACTCCTCACCTTCAAATAGCCGATATTCTGTCGCATGTAGTGGAATTTGCTAAGGATCAACATGGATCTCGGTGAGCAGCAGACATATTGATTTATTTTCTATCAGTTTTTCAAAACTTGCGGTTCTATCGACATATGGCATATCTTCACGGCTGGAAATTCGCTGTCGTATCGAGTGTCTTATGAAGTTATGAATACCAGAATAGGTTGTAACGAAACACGTCACCATGAATCATTTGTAATTGGAAGGGGATGAAAAAAAGAAATGAGAAGACAGGAGTTATCAGCAAATAAATGTTATAGTGGTCCAGATTCGATGCATGGGACAAATCCATGAGGACCACCGGCCTGTCTATATTTCGTAGAGAGCGTATGCAAATTATTACAGATTTATCCAACAAAAGCTTGAACGTGCATCAGCAAAAGAGAAGCAAATGCTTTTCGATGAAGTTCTCACTAATGCTCATATTCTAATGATAGATGTCTTCGGTAATTATGTGGTTCAGGTAAAGAGTTGTTTCATCCTGTTTTATTCGGCTTTTTTATCCGACCAACAATTTGTCTTCTTAGAAGTTTTTCGAATATGGTACTCCGGAACAGAAAGCTGCTCTCGGACGCTCGCTGAAGGGTGATGTTATCAATCTCGCTCTGCAGATGTATGGATGTCGTGTCATCCAGAAGGCTTTGGAGTCGGCAGACGAAAAGATTCAGTTGGAAATCCTCCGAGAGCTAGAAAATCAGGTATATTCAAGTCAATTTTCGATGTTTATCGCTTTCACTGTTTACGGTGTTTGCTAGCTTATTCCGTTACTTTTTTTTCTAAGCAACGCTTCTTGTTATCTTCCCAATTTTGGATTTATCACATTTCGTTCATGAGAAATATAATTCTTGCATATTATAGTTGCTTAGAAATGGTATTCTAAGGAAAATAACATTCTAAAATGTTCACTCATTAATGTGATATGCTTATTGGTGTTTAGTGATAAAAATTTATTTCGGAACTTCATTATTTTTACCGGAATATGCGCAAGTCATTCGAGCATGTTTAAACCTTTAGTGTTTTCCATCTTTATTTCTTCTTTCAACAAAAATAAGCCATCATATTCGCTGCGAAAAATGTCATAGAATGAGCAACTCCTCAGGTTTTGAAGTGCGTAAAAGACCAGAATGGAAACCATGTCATCCAGAAAGTTATTGAAAAAGTGAAACCCGAACGACTCCAGTTCATCATCGACTCCTTTACGAAAAATGGACCTGAAACTGTACGTTGAAATCTGCTCGTTATGATTCTTTTTTAGACTTTTTAGACAGTTTAGCACGTATATTATTTTAATACTTTTTCCGTAACAAATATCTTTCTAGATTGTACAATTATCCATGCATCCATATGGGTGCCGAGTTATTCAAAGAGTGCTTGAGCATTGCACAGAAGAACAGAAGAGACCTGTTCTGGAAGCCTTACATTCAAACGTTCGCTCACTTGTTCTGGACCAGTATGGAAATTATGTTATACAACACGTCATTGAGCACGGAAGTGATCCGGACAGAGATCGCATCGTACAAGAGGTCATCTAGTTTGATGTGTTTTCAAATTATAGTCATGAGTGTGTTGTCTTGTTTTCCATTTTTGTTTTCCTAGTTGGCATTCTTCACTTTTTCGATTTATCAGGGTTTTCTTCTTTTCTATGCAATGAGGTTTTCGTTTCAGATAACTGGTAATGTGTTGAGATACGCGCAGCACAAGTTCGCCTCTAATGTCATCGAGAAGTGCTTGATTTGTGCTGGACCTCACCACAAAGCTGTTCTCATCGATGAAGTCTGTGGAGATAATGATGAGTAAGTTCTATCATCTTGTTGTTATTTTATGTCTTTAGTTCGTTCTGTGTACTTTACCTTGCAGTTAAATATTTGTGTTGTTTTTCTAGTTGTTATACAACTATTTAGTCCATCGCCTCCAATTCTTCTTATGATGAAGGACCAATTTGCGAACTACGTTGTGCAAAAAATGTTGGACACTGCTGATCCTGGTCACCGCAGAAAAATGATGTATGCAATCAAGCCACATATCCCTACACTTAGGAAATTTAGCCACGGAAAACATATCATTAGTGAGTTCGAATGTGCTAAAGTCCATTTCTTTACCTGAATCTTTTTTTCACTTTCTGTTATTTTTAAGTTTCTCCAAGCAATAAAAATTGCCCGTTTGTAACTATCGTACTTCTCAGCTGTCTAGCGCTTCCCACTCGAACAAGCTACATTAAAAGCATAACATATTTAGTAGGATGCTTCTTTCGTATCTACTCTTTTTGGCAAATGATTCTGTTGCAGAGAGCTGCTGCAGATCAGGGGCTGGACTTAATCACAAGTAACTTGTCAGGCTTTATGGAAGTAATGCTGGGCCTTTTTGCGAGGGAATTCACCTCCAATATGTACTTTACAGGCACTTTATTACAATATTTTGGTCCATATCTGCATGCAGCGCGCCATCTACAAGCAGAAAAGCATGCCATCTTTCTATGCCTGCTTGTATTTATGCGCAAGGTGAAGTTACTCCAGTACACCAAATGTAGTGTGATCGTTCCTTGAGTCCAATTATCCCAGAGCAAGTGCATAGATTTAACTACTATTATCCATCTAGTCTTACTGGAGTGATATATATACTGTGTATTTTTGACGCTTGTGTTTCTTGGAGGTCTGTTCATCTAGAGATTGGAAAAATGTTTCTGTGAGGTTAATAATTAGCCGTAGACAGGAGCAGTGTAAGCTCTTTGTTCTTCGGGTATGTTATTTCGTCCTTATTTCCAGCAAAACTGGAAAAATATTTCCAAAAGCAGAACAGCAATCACGCTCAGCATCATCAGCAATTGCAATTTGAGCTTGGAGCAATGCAAAGTTCGAATGTGAATCATTCTATATTATGATTGCAGCAAGGAAATTGTGAATTACATCGAAAATTGTTTACTACTCGGGTGAGTTTACTTCTCATGGCATGTTTGAGTCACATTTTTTCAAATGACTTACTTCGTTTTATGTGGTTTAAAATTTTTTCCTGTTTTATTCAAATTTTAGTTAAAAGAGAACAGGTCTTCATTACAGCGTCGAACCGCACTTACTCTTTTTTTCTGGTATCTAATCGGAGTATGGTACGGATCACTCGGAGCTATGCAAAATAGATGTTTCCTGGAGTCACTCTGTTTAAGAGATGTTTCAATTTTCATTTTTTAACGTTCTGTTTTCCTGGTCATTGTCACCTGTTGAAGAATACTTTTTTAAGACCAAGAGTGTTAGCTTGCTGAGAAGGACACTGTTTTATTTTCATCTAAAGTGTTCAATGCTCATTCCTCTTTTTTCCACTACTGCTATCGTCTTTGCCTAGTTCAGCGCTCAACTTTTTTCTTTGGTCAGAAAAAAGAACCAGTTGTTGAGTTTTTACTTATTTTATGTACAGTTGTTTCTTCTGTATTTATTGAAGACGTTTCAATATCGTTACGGAGAAAATTTTAGAGGGTGGTCAGGACGACAACAATTTGTCTGAATGCCATCGCTCCTTAAATGTGACAACGTTGAGCATCTCAGAGATGTCGCAGTGGTTACGTTGTAGATTTGCAGTTGGTTCTGTTTGATTAAGCATACTTTGCCGTCTGTATCCTTATCGTTGAGTTTTCCACTTTCTCATTTTGTATTGTTTAATGATACGGATTTTTTGATAATGAACACATTTGAAAGTTAGAGGTTCAGTCTTGAGAATTTGTGTTGCAGATGACACGCAATATTGGGCACCTTGAACTATGAGGATAACCATATTAACCTGTGTGCTAATAAATTTAATACCGGTAGTCTGTGACTCCTCCCAACGGTTTACCGCCTCATAGTAGCTGGGCGTGGTTGAATGTCGGCTGGAATGTACAGAGGGATGAATCATCTCTCCGGCAAAGTCTCCCAAACTAAGAAATAGTCCGGCGTTTCTATCAGGAGAGCCCAGCTAAGAATAAACCAATACCAGCATCCACCACCGTCCTGGTATCAAGCTAGTCGCATGGTGGCGAATTCCTCTCTGATCCACAAGGGCGGCGACTGCATGTGGTGGTGACGACATGGGGCAGACTTTGACTCGGCTATCCTGAGGACTCTAGGGAACTACAATGGCTAAGCGAAAAAATTCCCGTAGAATGGAAATTATGCTGGGGCCAGCATAACTATTGAAGGCGAGCCGTCCAAGTATCCATGTAAGTAAGTCTGTGAATTGGAGGTCGTGTTTGGTTGGCTGGACTACGTGTAGATTCTGAATTTACAAGTTTGGATAGTGTTTTCTTTTTTTTTCGGATATGCACCTGTCTGCCAGTGGTCATTGTCAATTCTTGTGGTTTATTCGTATTCCGATTTTCGCTGATGATGAAGACGCCTTCTGCTTGTAGAGAATTTCGGGTACGTGGCATTGAAAATGGTGTTTTCTCTGTGTGCATGCTTCCAGAGTTATCATTCGATTTAGCGAATGTGGAAATAGTTTTGCATTGCCTAAAATATTACGTAGAACATATCTCTCGCCACTGTAGTTGCTCGAGTGAGTTTTTATTATCGATTCTTTTGGAATCATGTGACCTAACCACACTACTGGGCTTTCGAAATTACGGGAAATAGGCTGTTCAAATCCGTGGTGATGGTGGTGCTAAAAGGTGAATGAGAATGAATAGAGGTGTTGATGGTTCTTGTCAGCGTTGCATGGTATAGAATCTGCAATTAGTCAATTGTCCGTGATTATCGTCCCTCTGGTTAGACGATGAGCCGTGATATGGAGAAGGAGAACTGTCTGAATCTATGAGTTCTTGTAGTTAATTGGTTTACGTCTTCCTAGCGGTTTACCTCCTCATACTGGCTTGGAGGTGTTCCTGGGTGTCGGGTTGCGTTATACAGAGGGAGATTCATCTCCTGGCAAGGTCTGCCAAGCTGAGGAGTCTGGCGTTTCCAACAGGAATCCCAGCTAAAAGTAATCCAATGCCAGGATCTGTCACCGCTCTGGTACCAAACTAGTCGCAGTGGCAAATCTACCTCAAACCCACAACGGTGACAACTGCTTGTGGTGGTGACCTGGCGCAAACTTTGGCTTGGCTGACCCCGGAACTCTAGGGAAACTGCAATGACTAAACCAGCAAAACTGCGAAAAGTGGAGATTATGCTGGAGCCCGTGGAACCAGTGAGAGCGGGCTATTTACGTATCCAAGTAATTGGTTTACATAACAGGATTTGTCACCTCTGGTCCAGAAATCCTCGACCACGCTGCGACTCAAATCCAGAACCCCACTGAATACTCTGTGTAGACGATTAATGCTCGAGTGAAAAGGTAGACAGGAGTGAATAAAGGTCTGGATATTCCTTTGTGGCTTAATATGGGATGGAAGCTATGAATAGCTGTTTGTTTCCCACTATCGACTTCTCACTAGACGCTGATTGTTGCTAACAATAAGGAGCAGTCTGTGAGCCCGTGAACTTTGCCGGTTCTAATTGGCCTATCTAGCAGTACTTTTTATCCATGATCTGAGAACCTCGGATAAGGCTAGAGCCTACTCATGGGACGTGGTGGTTCAACGATGTATGGTTTATTTCGTTGTCAGAGTGAATGTATGAGAATGGTTCAGTACGAGGTGTTCTCCAATGACTAGTACTATTTGCAAGCTGTATTGGTTGGGGACGTTTTCCTTCACATATAAAACAACTTTTGTGCTGTACATGTCATGTATTCGTACAGAGTTGGTTTATGTCGTTAATAACTTTGAGGACTGCCTATTGTTTTCAGGAATGAGAGCGGGAAAACAACTAGCTGTTGCAGCAGCGGCTTACGTCGGCTTGAGTGGAGTAGGTGAAAATGCTGAGTTTCAAACCAAGAAATTTGGTGGAAAGAAAGTAGATGGAGGAGTATGTCGCAAGGTAACTGCACCTTCCACTTTGGTGTGCTTGCAAATTCATAGGACAAGTTCGTTCTACAGTAGGGTCTAAAGCACTGTTAATTAAACAAACATGAGAGAAGCACTCCAGAATCTATTCACTGTTCGCTATTGTTATTGTCGTGTGATCTGTGTTGTTGTGCAACTTTGTTCAGTGGGAGCAAGAACAGTGGTGAATATTCTGAGGAATTACAGGAATTACGTGTGTTTGTTCTCTACGATTTCTGAAATAGCAGTTCCTAGCTGATGTGTAATAACTTGTCCAGCTCTCAAGTCTTGCGATACGCCTCTATTTATCTGTTAGCCATTTATACAATGCCCTTATGAAATCATGGATCGCTGCTCGCGAATTGCACCACAATATCAACGCGACCCACGTGGGGTGACGGTTTCGAGTTCGGGTAACTGATTGACGGAAAAGCTATCTCCTTTCAACGACCTCTTACGACGGTTTGTGCACATGTAGAAATATTGTTTTTGTTGCGAGGAATCCACAAAAAATTCGTTTGCCTCTTCTGTTGAGAAGAGGCGTTCAGTGGTCAGCGTGATAGAGTTCGTCTTAATGTATTTCACTTCTGGACCTGCTCAGATTTAGCACACTCCATCCTCGATTTTTTTCTGTTTGCGATTTATATGATGTTTAGGTCTCAAATATCTACGACAAGAGTGGTTTGTGCCTGCGCGTTTTTCAGTATCAGTCATGTCCGTTTTCTTGTAAGGTAGTGTTTATCTCGCTGATGACGTTTTTTAAATGACATTTTCGGAGTAATATCCCAGTTAGTGTTATAGGTTCGAGCGTTCCTTGATTATTACGGGTTTTCCTATGAGGTCGTTGAAGTTAATCCGGTTACGAAATCACAGCTACACTTTGCTAAGGACTACAAGAAGGTATTTTTACTTCCAAACATCTTGTAGGCAGCTAAAATTTGCTATGTTAGTATTGTAGTACCAACAAGCTTAATTTCGTTTCCATATTTTATGAGGCCGATAACTCACATTGTAGGTAAGTGAAGTTTTCTTTTCAACAAGAGCTTAGTTGGAAGCGAATTCCGTGAATCCGTGTAATGTGCGCTTTTAGGTTCCCATCGTTACTAACGGGGAATTAGTGCTGAAAGATTCCTCGCTAATTATCTCCAAGGTTCATCTACTTTCTTTAATTTTCCTTCTGTGACTGAAGTGATTATAGCGTGTTTTGTCTTACAGTTGGCTACCTATCTGCACCGTCCTGACCTTAACCTTCCTGATATAGAGTGTTTATATCCTTGCTTCGAAATGAATCGTGATGGCAAGGTGGTTAGCGATTGTCCTCTCAAATATTTTGTCATGGACCGCTCACAGAGTGAACAGAAGTTGGATGAAGTTAGGTAATTCTGACTGTTTTCATTTTGCTCGTCATAAAATTGTTCGACATGTTAGCAGTGTTTCGCTAGACTTCTCTACAACTTAGGTCTTTTAGAAAATAACTTCCTTGCTTGAACTGAATTTGAGTATTATCACATAACGTTTTTCCACATGCGTCTGATTTCACTGTAGTTCTGGTGAAGATGTCGGAGCGAACCTACGCAGTCTGTTGAGCCTATCCCAAGATAACATTGAAGTTGTTCCCTAACTTGGAATTGCAGAGAGGAACGTGTGTGGAGACAATGGGTCGACGACCGCTTTATACATTTGATTTCCCCAAACGTATATCGTACCCCAAAGGAAGCCTTAGAAACCTTTAATTGGTTCTCAGAAGTAAGTTATTTCAGGACATTGCTAAACTAACTTTATTCGATACATCTTGCCAAAAACTGAAACTGTGAAAGTTATCATTACAGTTTGGTGATTGGAAGGAAAACTTTACTCCCTGGAATCAAATTTTGGCGAAGTACGTGGGCGCTTTTATGATGTACTTTATTGCCAAGCGCCTCAAAGCGAAGTTCGTCGATTTCTGAACTGGACAAAATCACGGTTCAAATGTTTTAATATTCTGTATTGTTCAGACACAAGATTACGGACGAAAGGCAGGCGCTAGTCGAAGCTTTTGCTGAGTGGATGGAAGCTATTGGTCCAGATAGAAAGTTCTTAGGTGGTAATGAGCCAAATTTGGCTGACCTTGTGAGTTCACATTTAACTTCAGGCTTTATTCGAACAGGAAAGTTATTTCATTAAAAACATGTTTCGTGCAACACGTTCGCATGTTGCTAGCAGAACTAGGCTGAGTTGCTATTACAAGAGCTATGGTTCGAATTCCAGTTAGTCTGTGAGTAAGTTTTAATCATTGAAAACATTGCTATCTTATGCGCAGCACTGCTTTAATGCATGACGTCCGGAATGAATCGTCTGCAATGCATACGTTGGGAGGTGGGCTACAAAGTGGACAAAGTGCATTGCATCCATATATTTCCTTTTCGCTGGCTCATTTCGCCACTGATGACTTGCCCAATAGAAAAGCCTCGTCAGGCCTGGCCCATGAAGACCTAATCTTCGCGAAGGGCGTGGTAATTAGCAAAAAATTCGTTTGGAAGAGCTCATTAGGTGCAAAGAGTTGAGTGAGACCGTTGACGATGAAGAGGGTGCAGAGATGTCTTCTATTCTTTGCTTGCAAACTGAAGTTCGGTTCCTAGGGCACTCTACTGCTATGATAAGGTAGCAAATCACAATTGACCGTAGCGAGTGCTCTTTAGGACTCCCTCGGTGTTCACGGACTGTGAGTTTATCAATGTGGTACTTCAGCTGCTCTTCAGAAATCATCGGCATATTTTATTAGCGCCACCATTCACTGTCGTTTGGGATACCATACTGAGGAGCATTTTTCTTGCAGATTGCCTATCGGTAGAACTTACATGTCCTGCATCCATTTAACACATTTCTGCATACAAGTTGTAATTCTTACCTACACTTAACAGTTTCGGCATAGTAATCGATATTGCTGCACACAAATTTTTAGATGAGGCTTGCACTTTGTTCTGCTTATGTGCACTTTTGATGATTAGTATTGAAGTAATTTAGGCAATGAGTTCTACTTGGGCGAGTGCACCTGTGGCTAACCTTCTGAACATATTTTGTTGCCGTATTTGCAATTCATGGCTTTGATATTGCATTGTAACACACCACACATTTTCTCTATGTCCTCGGCTCAATTTCACTCTTCTCTACAAACAGGTGACATGCCAACAGCGTGGTTTTGGTAGTTGAACAGCTGTATTTAGAGCTCTGATCTCGATGAAGAACTTCTTTTTGTTATGTCCTCCAATAACATGCGGCCGTGGTGAGTTCTAAAAAAAGGTCTCTCATTAACTGGGTTAATGACAATCCCTCTCATTTGTTCCACTCTAACACCATTATTCTGCTTAACTTCTTCTATGGTGTATGTTCTATTAACTTCAACTTGGTGCTGGATAAGTTTCTTGTAAAACCTTTTTCGGCTTTTCTTTCAAACTCTTAAACTCATCGCCGACGAATAGGCTACGCATCTACTGTGTAAAAAGGCAAGAAGCTACGAATAAGTATATCTGAGTCGACGCCACATCTTAACAATCCCGTCAATGTTTCTTGCCAGAAACAGCAGAGGAGCCTATCCAGCCTGGTCGAAATAAGCCTTGATTTGGCAGTGTTGTATTGGACAAGTACAGGAAATTGTTATAACCACTCGAGGCTGCCTAAATATGGAAAACTGTGGTGACAATTTGTGCTTACAATGTTTGTAAGCCAACACCGGAATCCATCATTGTGGATGTAGTGACGAAAGCCAAGAAGATTAGGTACGACGTTATCGAATTAAATGAGAAATAGAGGGAAGAGACCAGCTATCAACTCCATTTATGTTAATGGGAATCGTACCATAGAATTTGGCGGAGTTAGCGCTTTTTTCAGAATGGATTTGAGTACACAAGTATCAATTCGTTGCAGCAACTACCGATGCGTGTCTTTTTACAAGGTCATCTATCACCATCGCACACTTAAAAAGTTGGTCTACATTTAGAATACTATTATCTTGAAAATTTATAGAAAACAAGTGACATTTCAGATATGCGGAAAAAGCAATAATACTGTATATCGTGCTAAAAACGTCCACATGTGTTCCGTCGACGCAGCGACATGAAGAAGTGGTATACATGCAGTGGATGCAAGACTTTAATATTGAGGCAACTGTTCTTGAGTTCTAAGGACGTTGCGATAAGCTGACGGTTCGAGGACACTCCATATTAAACTATGCAGCGATAGGTCAAAAACTGAGGCTAAGCATGGCGCTCATTTTCCTATAAAAGGCAGCAGATGACAAGGTTTGTGATGAAGTATTCTTCTTCCAACGTAAAGAAATCATTTCACAATGCAAGACCACGTTTATTACTCGAAACACGACAATTGTGAAACGTTATATGCACAAAAGTAAAGCAAAATAGTGAGATTTGTTGAGGTGATGCAGCAATATTGATGATCGTAGTTATGGTGCATTATGTTAACATTCCATTTTTCTACATTGATTTCGATTTTTGAGATAATGACGAGTGTGATATAACCTAAAATGCGCAAATAAATATCATATGCAATGTGTTTCAAAAAAAATGGTTTGATTACCTTATACAGAGAGTTGGCACGATAAAAAGAGGAGAACAGGAAAGACATATAAAATCCTGAGACCATGAATCCAGAGATATGATTCGGAGAGTAGATTGGCATCACCCAATGACCAAAGATATTCAGAAGAAGCACCATCACTTGTGTCTAAAATGAGGTAATCTTACTTCATTTGAAGATGATGGTTCACAAATGCGCTCCACGTAGTGATATATTATAAGTTCTCGTGGTTCAGTGATTTCTCCACTTGTGTACTGACTTAACGCTCAACGGAACGAATGTCTTCGAATGCTCCAGTTATACCTATCTAGGTCGAGAAATCAATATGATGAACGACCTAGCTCCAGAGCTGAGCAGAAGAAAACGAGCGGCTCGGGGAGCTTTCAAGAGCATCAAGGATGTAGTGAAGAGAAAAAAGAACACCCGACTCCGTGCCCACCTTTTCGACTCAACGGTACTTTCAGCCCTAACGTATGCGTCAGAAACCTGGCCCCTGCGTAAGCAGGATGAAAGATCACTCAGCGTTATTGAACGCGCAGTCGAAAGGACGATGCTTGGACTATCCCGTTCCACACAAGTAAGGGATGGGATCCGAAGCACCGATCTGGGTCAGTGATCAAAAATCAATGATGCCGTTCTGTACGCCAAACAGTCGAAGACAAGGTGGGCCGGAGGCGTAATGCGTATTAGTGAAAACCGATGGACAAGAGCCGTTAGTGACTGAATTCCTCGGGATGTCAAACGTACTGCAGGAAGGCCACCGACCCGATGGTCAGAGTTCTTCACAAAGAGCCTTGAAGAACGATATGTTGCTCGACGAGTCCCTAGAGCGAGCAGAACCGGCTGGGCTACTCTTGCACGCGACAGGAAAAAATGGAAGATTTACTGGCGCCCGCTCGAGTCACTCGACGATCAACGGGACTACAGGTGACAGGTGTACTAACTTACTTAGGATACTTAGATGGCCCGCCTTCACTGATTGTGTGGGCCCCAGCACAATTTCCATTCTTCGGAGATTTGCAAGTTTCGCCATTATGGTTCCCTTGAGCCCCGAGGATAGCGTGGCCACCTGCTCAAAGTGTGTCCCAGGTCGCCACCAGCACAGGGAATTGCAGCCCTTATAGACCAGAGGGAGATTCGCTACTAGTTTGACAAGAGGACTGTGACGGATCCCGAGATCAGTTTACTTTGAGCTGGGCTTCCTGATAAAACGTTGGACTCCTTCTTTGCGTGGGAGACGCTGCTGAGGAGATGGATCTTGCCCTTGTACATCGCGGTCTAACACCCATGAACACCTCCCAGCCACGATGGAGCTGTAAAGCGTTGGGAGGAACTCGTATACTAGATTTCATAATATGTCCATTGAAGCAGACTTCAGTTCGTTCCAAAAAAGAGACGCATCATGGCCTACAAGCGCAGTGTACTTTCTTATTAGTCTTTTTATACAAAAAACACTCCAAAAATACTCGAAAAAAGCTCCCAATGGTATAATTTCAGTAACTTTGAAAAAGTCTCCAGAATTAGTTGTGTGAATGCAGTAAAGAGAAAATTCTTGGATAAGGCTGATACACAAGCAGATACACGCATTGCAATCAAAAGTCATGAGCTATAATCCTAATAAAAACTAAACAACGCTTTTTCGTCACTCCAGGTATCCATGGAGCTGGTCTAGAAAAAGTAATATCGTAGTTTAATCGTTTAGCAGAGAGATGACCTCAGTTGATTCAATTTCAGCAATAATTTGGAGCATTTCCAAATCTAAGACTTCTTAATACCGCTGCCAATGCAGTGGAAAACCCCAATAATGCCGAATATACACTATACCTTGTTGAGACGATTTCGTCAGACTGAGCTTATTCATTAAGTGAATATTTGAAAGTGAGAGATGGAATGAAAATTTCAACTTCGCTTACAATTAGACGGCTGGCCAGGTAATGGGTCTGAACGTGGGGCGATAGGTGACGAGCTGAAAGGGAGCACAAAGCCGGAAGTAAACAGAGACAGCCAAACATGCGACACCACATCACATGATGAGAATCCAGAGTGTACGTTGAGTTGATCTAAACGACATCGGCTGGTCACTGTACATGGAAAACATATTCCAAAAGTACTCGAAATAAAGGATAATGGCCGTTTCACACGTAGAACGAAGTCTAGAACAATTAGGGTGTTGCGAGTCCTAAAAAGTCTTTAATAAACGAACTTTCGCCGAAATTTACCAAATGAACAGAACCTATAGGAAACTTCATTACAATTACTTTCATTAAAGGTGACTGTAGGAATATATGGGCTGTATGATGACTTGCGGAAGCTTATCAGTGTAAAGTAGTATTAGCTTTAACCACTCAGACTGGTCTGGTACCAATTTGCTGGCCCAAGACCTATGACAACTTGTCTAGCTTCGGGATCGAACCAATATGTATTGCAGGGCACATCTCATCACATGGCTAACTCAATTAAAAGCTGTAGACACATATAACAGGAAATTCACAAGGCAAAACCTACCACTAGTTTTAAAATATGGTGTGGAAAAGCAAAATGAGTGAAGGCCATTAGAAGACTGAGAGCAGCATCGAAATAGAAGATGTTTTCCAAATAAAAAGAGCCCTTGCCCTGAATAAATCCGGATTTTAAGCTGAACCGTGAGTTGTCAGCAGAGAAAGCATGATTACAGTTTACTCTCCGTAGTTTTTACTGTTTTTAATATGTGTTTGCGGGGAAAGCCAACTCGATCGCAATTTGAATCAAATTTTCTTTCGTCGCAGAAAGAGGGTAACGGAAAATATGTGCAGCAAACTGCCCTCTAGCACGCAAAAAAAAGAAAGAATTATTTTCCGAAAAGGAACAAAAAGCAAAAAGAAAAACAAAAATCGCCATCCATCAAGATGCGCATCAAAAACACTGAAATTGAAGGACTTCACTCATCGTTGCTGACAGTACCCTTACAGGATTGTCCTACAACATTCCAATTACCTCCAACCAAAGAGTTGTTCTTTTGGACATTTTATCGATCTCATCCTGATTGCTTCCTTTCATGGTGCAAAATTTCACGCATTCACAGATAAGCCAAGCAGCTTCACACAGAATGGCGCAAAGAACAAACTGAAAAACAATTACCATCAGACAATTCATTATCGTATATAAGAGTTAACTGACATTGCCTAGAGTGACTTAAATAAAATATGGGTAAAGCGGCACTGAGATGTGCTGTTGAATATGCGAATATTCCTCAGCAACAGAGAGGAAACAGAGACATTTCATAATAAATTCATGCATAATGCTCTGTGATTTCCGGTACCCTCCCAACGGTTTGCCGCCTCATCGTGGCCAGGAAGTGTTCCTGGGTGTCGGGCTGTGATGTACAGCGGAGGAATAATCTCCCTAGCAGGCACCCCAAGCTGACAAAGGGTCCGGCGGTTCCATCAGGAAACCCAGCTAAGAGTAAACCAATACAAGGAACCAACACCGTCCTGGTATTAAACTAGTCCTATGATGGTAAATCTCCGTTTAATCCATAAGAGAGGTGAATGCCTATGGTGATGAGGACCTGGAGCGCACTTTGGCAAGGCTGTCTTCGGGACTCCCGGGAATCACAATGGCTAAACTAGCAAAACTCCGAAATAATGGAAATTATGATTTGGGCCGCACAACCACTGAAGACGAGCCATCCAAGTAATTAAGCAAATAATTTCGGGTATTCACCACTTTTTCAACCATATTTTTCAAATCAATATTCAAGAATCATGTGGGCAGAATGAGATGAAAGTATGAACCAAATGACAACAAAATAAGTTATTTGACACAAACAACTAGATTACAGTAGTTGTTTCTTAAACAGCTATTAAACCCATTAAATTGTCTATTTGTACCTACCATCTCATTGATCTTTACTCAGCAACGAAAGAAACAATCTCAACATAACCCACATGGTCTGAAATTAACAATCCACGTGTCGACTTCTCGGTGAGGTGCCAAGCAGTTAGTAGTCTTGTCAGTAGTGAAAGCAGAGCACAGAACACTTGGGCAAATACAAACGGCTTCTCCTGAGGAAATCCAGCAGGTGACAGCATAAAGTATGCAAGCGCTACCTGCAAAGAATACAATCATATAGGTTAGTTAAGATGGACAAATTAAAGTAGTTCAGGACTACATGGCCATGAATGTATAGGATACTATACAAATAGACGGGCTTTACATTACATTCGAAATTTACATTCATTCTCTACCTCATCTTTAGGCAAATGGAAATGGAAAACTGTAGTAACTGAGAGCCTTTGCATCGATAAACGCGGTGAGGATTATCGCAAGCAGTTCTTTACATAGATTGCTTAGTTGTCAACGATTTGTCAAATATGGGACCTACTTAAAAAACAGATCTAAGATTGAAGCCTAAAACACTGCACTTCTGGCATATAGCGATAAGAAACGAAACGTTAACTGGTAACAGATGCCTACCATTTCAGGAGAATGGGTACACACAACTACGAATTTGACTGACTATTCCAAAAGTTGGGCGCCTGTAGCGCAGTGGTCGGAGGGGCCCTGCAATAAACAAATAATCGATCTCCGCGCCTCAGGCTCACCATGCCCTCCATCTCTCCGGAGTCGCCGAACTGGTACCGGGCTTGTCTGGGAGGACAGAAGCACTGGCTCGATACATCGGTAGGCCACCGCAAGTCATTGTAAAGGCCAGATATGCACTTAGTCACCTCCAACGATGCCCAATGAAGTGAATGCATGGCGCATCCCTCAGGGGTGGATCAAATCCGAGAGCTTTTAGCTTTTTATCCCAAAGCTTAACTAAAAACAACGAAGAAAATAAACACAATTTCATAATTTCATGCTAAAATTTTGAACAAAAACTCACATGAAATGGAGCACAATAGGCTTGTAGGAACGAATGTAGAGTGTTGAACTCGCCTTGAACCTGAAACGATAACACTAAGCTTAATTTTTTCAAGTATCAAATCCACTTCAGCTGTAACCTAAAGACACTTTCCATAATCAGTCCCTTAACAAAAAAGACTTTACCGCTCTAAAACAGTTAGAAAAAGATTTTCGCAACCCATTCAACGTTTTCCTGGTTCGAATAGGAGTGGAAGCAACATGGCAGAAAAGCAATCATTTGAAGTGGGCCTTAGAGTTACGTTTTTTCTAACGATTTATTGCCAAGAAAAAATCATGCAATCTCATCTGACATACCGTAATTCCAAGAAAATGGCTAGGTACGAAGAGAAGGCATGTTCCCAGTAGCAAATGTCCTAACGAGGCCGCATTTCTTAACGCCGGTAGTTTCGAGGGAAAAAGCGTCGAGAGCGCCGACGACAGGAAACTCACACAGAGTGCAACATGTACGCCAAGCCATAGCATTCTGCAAGAAAAAACGACCATCAAGAAGGTGACGATAGGGATAACAGTACTGTAATACAGCTGAAGTAGAAATAGAGTAGAAACAAACATCATAGAAAGATTTGCAGTTTGACGAACTTCTTAATTGCGTGATACTTGAATGGCCCATCCTCACCGATTGTGTGGGTTCCAGCACTCCATTTTTAGGAGTATTGCTGGTTTAGTCGTTGCGTTTTCCTGGAGTTCCGGGACCGGCCTGGCCAAAGTCTGCCCCAGGTCGTCGCCACCACAGGCAGTCGCAGCTCTTGTGGATCAGAGGGAGACTTGCCACCATATGACCTTGATACCAGAACGGTAGTGGATCCTGGTATTGGTTCACTCTTAGCTAGACTTCCTGATAGAAGCGCCGAACTCCTTAGCTAGAAAGACCTTGCCATTGGAATGAATATCCCGCTGTACCTCACAGCCCGACACTCAGGAACACCTCCCAACCACGATGAGGCGGTGAACCGTTGGGCAGGGATAAACCCTTAACACAAACATTTCTGGAACAAATGATCCATTACTTCTCGGAAAAATGGGTCTGTAAGATGACGTACAGTAAATAATATGAAGCAATTATGTAGTACATTAGCTGTGGTATATGTCAATAACATGAATGGGGACACTGAACTGAATTAGAGGTCATGAGTAAAATCCGGACCATAATTGCCTAACCTCAATAAGATAATAGTCCATTACCAAGGACATTAGAACTCCGTTCATAACAATGCTGACGAATATTTCTTCAATTCATAAAGTAGGTGACTCTAGAGGTGATAAATGTTAGTGTCAATAAATGAAAAAATGGAAACGAACTACCAGTTAATTCTAATAGAGGACTACAAAGGACTTGATCTCATCTCTAACACGCGCCCAAAATGCCTAGCTACATCCTGCACTCATTTCGAGGACGCGGAAAGTTTCGGACTCCTCGTATGAGGCTTTTTTACTTTAACTGCGTTTCGTGAGAGGATTCAATTTTAGGCGAAGAACGTACAGAATAACTTTCAACAGTGGTTAATAGCGTCCTGCAATAGACATGTGGTCATTGGTTAGATCCCAAGCCCAGGTCTTCGGCCTTCCGTTTTCGCCAAAAATTTAATAAATAGTAACGACATATGTACCGTAGCTCCTGGCCTTAGAAAGCGGCTAACAACAACTCGTATTTGTTCTACAATGTAAACGAGCAAAATAAGCAAGTTCTCGTGAACGTCACAGAAGTTTCCAATATATCGAAAGCATCCAGCAGATAGGAACAAGTTCCCTATTACCAAAATCGATAGACATAAAGGATAAAAGGATAAAGGTCTCGACGTTGATCAATCCTTTTAGGGATGTACCATACATTCGACTTCACTAATCATCGTTTGGAGGTGATTGAATGCATATCTAGCCTTTACAATGGCTCACAATGGCCTACCGATGTATCGAGCCAATGCCGCTATCCTCCCAGACAGGTCTGGTACTGATTTGCCGACCTCGGATGGATGGAAGGTTTGGTGGGCCATGGGCGCGGGATTGATTCCATGTGTGTGTTGCAGGGCGCCTCCGACCACTCTCAAACCGACAGCTAGTGTCTACAATCCGATTCCGACACACGCCTCATATCGATAGATGTAACAAACAGAATCTTCGATAACAATTACAACGAACAACCATAGGCGAAATTACTCGAAACAGAAGAAGTGGAGCCAGGAGATATCTGGAATCTCTTCGATTCCTTTACACAGCTTTAACAACACACCAATGCTGGCTGCATTAGCGAAATGAAAGCTTCGAAACTTTCCGCGATATCAAGTTACCGATATTTCACTAGCTGCTTTAAGTTCAACGTGGGTTACCCAAGTCTTGCTTTCCATTCCTTGAGCATTTATGGTCACCCATATCACACGCAGCAGACTTTCTGAAGAGTATCCTATATCCTCTAGATGTAACTAATATGAGGTCTATGGTGTTGACATATATATATCTTCAACTTATCGTACATTTAGCTCTTCACCAGTCATTTTCACAAAGGTACAGAACGAAAGACATCATACCTGGTCACGAGTCAGAAGGTGTCAGCTATGACTATCACAATTGAGAAGTGAACACGATCAATAAACTGAAACGAGATCTAAACGAGGAAGAAAAAGAAGTGATGGGCACTTAAGGATAACGAGGAAATATTCGATAACAGACCCCACGCCCACTTCTTCTATTTCACCTTTCTTTATGCTTCAACTCATCCGTTAGATACTTCGACGGTAGGAGTTTCGAGATTAAAGTGAACAACATTTAACGAATCACTAAGGTAGAAATGTTTTAAGGTAATTGTATTTGCCAAAAAATAATGAAGTTCGCAGTTGTGGTAACAAACAATGATTGGGATTGAGAAAGGCTTCAGCAGAACTGCTGTATAATCCAAAACGTCGATAGCCCGAACATATGGCATAGGAATAGATCGAACATAAATGACCAATGGACAAGTAACTCAGAATGCCGTCATCCGCAAGATAAAACAAAAAGTAAGAACCACATGTCCACTTCGGCTATCAATTTTAAGACGAGCTATAACGCTTTTCCTCTTTCTTTTAACCTATGAACGAGCTTAACTGAGGTGTACGACCTTTGAAGCATATTGGATCGTAGCTTCAAAACAATTTACTAAGATTCCTGGACATTAGCACAAGGAAAGATGAGGTTCCAAGCGTAACCTCAATCCATTTCGTTGACTAGAATCTGAAGGCAATAGCGAAGTGGTATTCCAATGCCTTCACTGTAAATAGTGTGAATCAGATCACCAAACCATATTAGTCCGAAAATGTGCCGCTTTTGCTTCTAGGTAACTTCTACAGCAGTGGAGAATACAGCATTGGTTTTCTTTAAATTAGCTTCCAAATAAAGATAACTAACTCGGTTGAGGTAGTCCTGACGTAAAAAGAGACAGCCGCTATACGTCGTAGTTTAGAAAAAAAAAAAGGTGTAATCTACTACAATAACCTTGATGTTGATTAGCTTGTAATGAAAAGAAAATGTATGGAAACCTACTAAGGTAGATATGTGATCGCTTATTTGCAATTTCTAAGATGAGATACACAACCAGTAGACTACTAATGAGCAGTGTGGGAATCAGAAAATTACTCACTCACATCGCGATTAACAGCAGAACTTTATGGATCAACTCTAGACTCCAGATTCGTGAATCATATGTTATTGAAAACCCTCAGTCATAATAAAGACCTACAACCCATCTTTTGTAACAAAATAAAGCTGGTAGCAGAAAAAAGAACACCTATGTTACGGTAGGTATATCTAGTATGTGTATCAAGTCGTATTTCTGCTCCCTTAACAAGAAAAAGTCTGGCAGCTTTACAATTTTAGGCGAACGCATTAAGAACTAGAGTGACACTAAGGTATTAATGTGTGTTTGCTTGCAAACATATTGTGGTAGATACCAAATTTAACAGAAATGTGCAAACATCGATAGAATCGATTGCGACATCCAAGCAACACTAGCTGCGCTCTGGTGCCCCAGAGTGTATGAATAGCGCTTGGGTAGGGTAGGATGTGGAGGTCAAGGCTCATTAAGTCGTCGTAGAGACTGCGTCCGGTGAGGAAAGACACAGGAGGTGTGCCGCCGACGACAGACCAACGGATGAGCGGAGAGCCACGACAGGCGAGCTTCTCTCGAGAACGATCGATATCCAGGGATTAA